CAATGACTTATCTTAACATCAGGCTTCCCTCTTGCATTTATCTTTGAACTACTTTAGAGTTATGTCTTCTAACTTCCCTTTTATTGGCGGCGAATTCTCAAACGTGGGTAACATCTATTGTTTCATTAACTAGATTGGTAGCACTTATTAACCTTGCCATATATTCCTATGTATTGAACTGAGAGCATCACCAAGAAGGCATGTTAAATTTGACAGGAAACATGGTGTTCGCTCTGTATACTAGAGTGAAGGGGGTCTCTTTACTAGTTGATTAAGGAGTGGTTTGATATGACCATAATACTTTGTACAACTGCTCCGCCTACAATCTTTTGGCGTCATTCAACTTCTTCTTAATCCCTTTTAGTACTACTTTGTTTGTTTATTCTACTTACTCATTCTCTTGTGCATGGACAACAAAAATGAACTTTTTTTGCACTCCTAAGTCGTGACAAAAATCAACTACCGCAGTGCTAGCAAGTTGAGTTCCATTGTCCAAAACGATGACCTCTGGCACAACCCAAACATGCATATAAATCTTTGTCAATAAAAAGGCATACCCTTTCATTTGTGATATTGGATATGGTTTCAAACTCTACTTATTTTGTGAAATAATATACTCTAATGATTAGGAACTTTAGCTTCCCGTAAACCAGAGGAAAGGAACTAGAATTTCCATACCTCACTAGTAAAATGGCTAGGGCGTTGTAACCGAATGGAGGAGTTTAGCTAGTGCATGATATAGATTGGCGTGTCTCTAAAAAAATTTGCATTTCCTTACAACATTCATAATTTTATTCATTAGGGTAGGCCAATAATATCTCACCCTCAACAGATTATGGGTCAAAGCTTGTTCGCTAATGTGATTGCTACAAGCCACTTGATGCACTTCACCGAGGACTAAATAGATTTTGTGTTTCCCTAAGTAACTTAACATGGGACAATCACTTCCCATTTTTTATAGCTTTCCTGACATCAAAATGTACTTTGTTGCATGCTTGTGGATTTTCTTCGCCTCTAAATCGTCTTGTGGTAATTTGTTTTATTGCAGATATTTTATTATAGTTTTCATCCAACTAGTTTACTGGGAGACATCAATAATGTTGCTCTCGCCTACCTTGGTACTAGGGATGGAGAGCATATCTTGAATTATCATGCGGTTATACCTCGTTTTCTTTGAGCTAGAAAGCTTAGACAAAAGGTCTGCCCTAAAGTTCTGCTCCATGGGAACATGCATTATCTTGAAAGTTTTGAAATTTTCAGACACGTCACTTACCTTTTTTTAGATATTTTATGATTTAGGACTCTTTATGTAATATTCCTCGACGACCTATTTTGCAACCAATTGGGAGTCATTATTGGCTTTTGGAGTATATACGCCTACCTCTAGGGTAAGGGTCATGCCAACAATGAGATCTTCGTATTTGGATTAATTATTGCTAGCTTTGAACTTGAATTTAAATGATTACTCGATCAACATAGTGTTTTGTACTTCTAGAATTATCCTTGTGTTGCTTTTCTTTACATTATAGGCATCATCTACCAGCAACGTCCAGGTGGGGGGGAGTCTCCTCGTGCACAGGTGAATTCAATTCTAGTATAAAATTTTCTAGTACCTCTTATTTGATGCTTTCTTTGGTTATGTATTAGATTTTGTACTTAAACAACTTGAATTCCATGACACCATTAATCTTGTTATATCTAGTTTCTTGAGGACCTGACATATGGGCTAGTTTGTCTTTACCATTACCTAATGTCCTTGAAAATAAGGCTTGAGATTTCTTGTGGTTACCACAAATACCAATGTGAGCCTTTTAATATTATGATATCAAGCCTCAGGGCCCTTGAACAACTTGATAAAAAATTAGACAAGTTGGTTCACTCTATCTTTTTCCTAAATGGGTAATGAGCTTATCGCTTGATAGGTAACAGATAAATAAAGGTACAAAGGTAAACTTGCTATTGGACGTGCAAAGATGGGAAGCAAGGTGTTGGAAGGGGGCAAGGCGTCTACCACTTCAATTGTCTTGGCACTTACCTCTGAGTCAAACATCATTTTAAGCATTATGTGGCCCTTAACTTGTACCTGTTTTCCTGAAAGTCCAACCAGAGAACCTAGGAATGCTCTGATGTTGTTCGGGTCGAGTTAGAGCCTCTGGAAGGAGCTCTAGAACAAGACATCCATTGGGATACCAGGGTCAACCAGAACTCGCTTCACATCATGATTATCGTATGAACAGTGACGACTATGGGGTCATTATGATGTGGAAAAACACTAACATTTTCCTTTGAGAAAGTGATTATCGATTCTCGTTCTTTCCCCGAGATTCTAACAACGTTAGTAGGCATGATATTTGTTGTAAAAATGTGTTAGGAGTACTTTCTCCAAGATGAATTAGATTCTCTCCATCCGAAAAACTTTCAGGGGTGGTGTTGATGGTGATATTCGAGCTTTGATTAAGCATCCTTGTGAAAAGATGGTGAAAACAATTGTAAGTGACGATGAGTGTGACACGTGTCAGATTTATCGGGCTCCATGGTGGGCATCCATTGTACTTGCTAAAAAGTATAATGCGTGACCACCCCTAGTGATTAAGAGCTACCATTGGTTTTAATGTGTGTTGTAAGGTTGAGAGCGATGTCACGTAGGAGGTGAAAAGCTTTGCAAATGTGGTTTTCTTTGTGAGAATGCGATTGTCCTTCTCAACTTCAATGTCGAGGTATTTATAGCAGTATTGGGTCTGGATCCTAAACCCTTTGAGAATAGCAACCATCACTGAAAGGATGCAGGACAGTTAATCAATTTTTATTTTGGAAAACATGGTCAAATGACTCCTTTCGTGCCGTTACAGAATAGAGACACGTCATTTCCTCATTTTCCCATCTTGAGCATCCCCTCATAAAGAAAGGCGACATAATTAATAAAGAAGCGACACATCTAGTAGGTGTAGCGGAAAATTTGTGAGTGTAAGTTATTGATTAACTTAACTCATAAAGCAAGAGTCACCATCGCGATCTTACTTATCCAAAGGAAAGGAAAGTATAATACCTGTATTTGATTCATGGGAAATCTCAATCTTTGGACGTGATCAAGTTATTCAAAGCTGAAGTCTAACTTCAACTTGGAAAGTAAATAAAAGTTGTCAAATTCGACAGTGGTGGTGAATACTATGGTCGATATGATGGATCAGGAAAACAATGTTTAGGTCCCTTTGCACTTTTCCTCTATGAGTGTGGAATTGTTCCGCAATACACAATGTCGGGAAAGCACATCATGAATGGAGTTGTAGAACAAGGAAACTGAACTCTTAAAGACATAGTAAGAAGTATGATCTCACTAAAGACTTCAACAAGATCAGTTAGAAATATGCATGATTTAGAGATCATATTGCATGAAATTTCTATGTCACTCATCCATATTGATCTATGTCATCATGTACGTTAATATGGTGGTCGTCGAGGTTCTGTCACGTTACACGTCAGTGACGACAGCCGCGGTGGTCCTATTATTGATGTATGAGGTGGACCAGATTGTAAAGTTGATAATGTTAAAAGGCTATTTAGATTGTAAATAAAATATCTCAAATGATTAAGTGATCAAATAAAGTGTCTTAAATAAAGTGCACTTAAATAATGACAATTCATTTAAAAACTATTTAAGTCGGGGTTCCGTCTCGTTAGCTATTTTATCAAATTAAGTGCCTTAAACAATTAAGTAATCAAATAATGTTTAAATGATATTTAGATTTTATTTTGAAATTATTTAATTAATTAATTAATTATTGGATATGAGATCAAATATGAGTGGATGTCAGGATGATCCATTTGGGAATAATCGGAATCCTAATTGGCCATCACACTATATATAGGCTATGGTCCCCAACATACAATATACAAGCAAATTATCTCTTCTCTCAATCTAAAGAGAATTCGAAGCATAAGGAATACCAGTTGAGGAAGAATCACAAAACTATCAACTTTTAGGTTTTAAAATTACTGTTAAAGGGTTTTCTCAATGGGTCAAGGTATTCTAAAATCAATTTATCATTCTTTTAATTTTAGACATACTTAATTTCCGTACTTAAATTATATATAATAATTTTTTGAGCATATATATTTTGATTAATCACTCTTAATTTAAATCTAATATAGTTCAAACTTAGAAGGTTTTAATTAATTAGTCGTGTAATAAATAACTAGGTAAATACGTTAGCTATGTAACTTGTTATATGAATAACTAAGTTGGATAGGTTGTTTTGAGCATGGTTGGTGATTGTAAGTTCATTTGGTGGTGTATAAATAATCAACTTGTGATCAATAATAATAAAAAAAGCAATACACAACTTTCATTGCACTTTCTCTCATTTTCTTCTATCTAGTTCTAACACACCATGTTAAATTTATATGTATTTTCTTCTCGATTTTTTGACATAAATACCCTATATTGAAACCAATATTCCCACACTATCCTAGTTTGAAATTTTTTTACCAGAGTACCCTACTTTTGAGGGAGTTCGCCCATGCAAGGGACGAACAAGTGAAAAGGAAGCTTGAGTTCGTCCAACCCAAGGGCGAACCAGTGGAAGCAGACGGCCATGCAAGGAGTTCGCCCATCCCAAGGGCGAACCAGTGTTGAATTGTTTTTTTTTTTGTTTTTTTATTTTTTCATATTTTCTACAATATATATTTAATCTATTTAATTAAAATAATAAAAAATATATTTAATATAAAACATAAAAAATCTATTCCATTAAACTTATTAAAAATATATTTAATTAATTTTAAGAAAAAACTATTTAATATAAAACATATAAAATCTATTTAATTAAACTAATAAAAAATGTATTTAATTAATTTTAAAAAAAACTATTTAATATAAAACATATAAAATCTATTCAATTAATTTAATAATAAACATATTTAATTAATTGATTAAATAATTTACAAGAATAAAATTTCAAGATTAAATAGTTACAATCAAATTGATTACATAAATATACATATCATCGAAGATGACCCCCAGTTCCACACCTAGGGGCCCTTCGCTGTCGGTGTCCTCTGCCCAAACGCTCGTTTGCAGATGACTGAGACGAGTCGGAAGACAAATCTTCATTGTGATGTGTTGTCGGGGGGATTGTCTGCCTTGTAGAGGGTCCTGGTTCATCATCTAAAATATCTTCGATGTTAAAATCCGGCATTTGCATCAGTTGCTCCTCTGTCAGTAAAAAATGTTGGAATGAATGTGTTGGTTGTGGTGGCTGTGGGTAGGTTTCAGCTTGGGTTTGTTGAACGGTTGGGATGTAGACGTCATCAGGCGTGAAGGCGGGTTGTGAGAAGGTAGTGTTGAAGGTAGGATTTGTAGGATATTGGAAATAAGGGTTGCTCTGCTCAAAGTTGGGGGTTGTGCATGGGGTGAACTATTTGGGTGGTCGGAGGTAGGGTTGGGGCTGATATTGTTGGGTGAACTGGGGGAAGTTATAGTTATGTTGAGCTGACGAGGATGGGTACCCCCAAAATTGAGAGGTGTTGGTTGGTGGGGCATCCGGATGCATTGATGCGGCAGTTGGTTGTGTCGATGATGATGGTTGCGTCCGTGGGTCGGTCAAAAATTGATCCGGAGCAACATGGACATAAGGAATTGCGCGGAACCAAGTTAAATACTGTTGACTTGGCTTGCGTTCACCTAATACAGAGTCCCCCTGCAAAATCACATGTCTTCTGTGTCTCCATTCTCGGACCTCGTCCTTATTTAACTGTTGCCAATGAACTTTTTGCGCTTTTCGCATGGTCATTGCGTGTTAATCCTTTAGACACTTAGGAAGGGGAGGGATTTGTTGGTCTACTCCAAACTGGAGTGTTACCCTATCTGTTTGATGCATCTCAACGATGTAGAAACAAATAAGGTACGTTGTGGCACTCCAGATTTAGCTATCTTCTAGACGCGGGACCGGGTACTGAATGTACGGCCTCCATATAAACTGTCATATAACAAAGAAAATTAAGATGCCATTAAATTGAAGAACCGACCACGATTTTCACTTGGTTTAAAACTTACATCTTTTTCTTGCATATGGTCCAACGCGTTTCGATATCCTTGAAGATGGAAACGAGGAGTTGCACGGTAATTCATTCCTCTTTGTGCCCATCTTGTACAATCAAAAACAAAATAATGTTAGACATATTTGAATAAGAAATATATATATTTTACGTACATAAATATGAGTATTATATTACATAAATACCTTTGTGCATATGAATACGAGGGTTCCACCATGCTGACAGGAGCGAACAATGGGATGCGTGTGAATGCCCAAGAAGTTAGTAGGAGAGCACAACCACTCATGCTCCTAACTTCTTTTTCTGATGCCTTGCACATTTCTCTGTACAATTTTGCAAGGCATGCAGAACCCCAACTATATTTTCCACATTCAATGAGATCCCCCACGAAAGGGACCCAAGAAGAATGCAAAAGGTTTTGAGTTTTATCAGGAAACAAAATTGTTGCGATCACGAGTAAAATAAATAATTTGGCTTCTAATAAAACATCTCCTTGAGTCGGGTTTTCTTTGTTTTTTAAATTTTCATACTCACTCTCAAGCCAAGTTATCCTAACAAAACCTTTCATTTTATCTTCTTCTTTTGGTTCCTTCCCCAAGTAATCCATGTAAACAGAACTTGTTACCTCGGTGGGACCTTTGATAGCTTTGCCATCAACTCGTAGACCTAGTAACATACATGTATCTTCAAGGGTTATGGTGCATTCACCTGTTGGCAAATGAAATGTGTGGGTCTCGGGTCTCCATTTCTCCAATAGAGCAACAACTAGGCTTGATTCGATTTTCAAACTGTTTATGTTTGAAATGTGTGTGAATCCTGCGATCTCAAGATAAGGCATTATTCTATCATTCGCTCGAACAGGAGAATGTGAATGCACCCTAAACCTCGGGGCATTAATCTGCAACAATATTTAACCAACATTAGTTAGTCACAATTTTTACGACGAAATAATAATTTGACAAAGAACAATATACATTAATTTTTTTGGGAAAAAATATATAAAATATGAAAAACTTACACTGTTATTGATATTTTGTTGTGTTCCACGGTGCTCATCGCCCATCCACAACAATGTCATTTTAGTCGGGTAAAAATTGCAAGATAGTAGAGGAATAGAAGTGAGAATTGCTAGGAAGTAGAGAGAATTAGTAAAAATGTTGTGTAAATTTTGGAGGTAAATAATTTGAATATATAGTAGTGTGTATGAAAATAAAATATTAGGTTTAAAAAATTTTAAAGTTATAGATTGAAGAGACTTTTGCATGGCACCTACGTTTTTTGCATGCATGCAATGCTAGCTTCTTACACAATGTCGTATGCATGTGAAACATTTTTTGCAGACCCTCACAAGTTCGCCCTTGGGTGGGACGAACCAAAGTTTCCCCTCACATGTTCACCCTTTGGGTGGACGAACCATAGGCAATGTTGTTGGCAAGTTCGCCCTTTGAGTGGGCGAACTAGTGATACTGAATTTTTCAGATTCGTTTCCTTGTATATCTGTTTGAATCACTATATTATAAACTTCTCTTTTATGCATCAATTACCACATTCAAACTCCCCAACATTCAATCATACACTTCTAAAAAAATTCAAACTCCCCAACATTCAATCTTACACTACAAAAAAAATTTAAACTTCTCAAATTTCAAACTCTAAAATGTCACAGAGAAACATAATTACCACATGTCACTTTAACGGTGTTGTTTCGACAAACACTCCTGTTGGATTCTCGTTCAGCAATACGGATACATACGCCTTCAAAATTCATGTCAATTCAGATTTTTTTCATTTTAAAGATAGAATGGAAAAAATTGGCACAAGGCGTTGAGGAAATCATTTATCGCCATCCCACCCTTAATGAAGACGATTGTACGATTTTTTACATTATGACGCCAATCAAAAACGACGAGGATGTGAAGGCAATGTTTCGGTGCCACATGATGTTTGGTCAGTTACCTACAATTGAGGTGTATGTCAGACTACTACACAATCCCGAAACATTGCCAACGCAGGAGACCCAGTCACACTGGTACGGGATGAGCCAAACATCCAACGACGAACCAACGCAAAACAATTTACCTTTCATACCAGATGAGAAGGTTGGAGAATCAAGTGATGACGATATTTATGAGGAGATCAGGATGCAAGATATTTTTGGTGACAGCGGTGACGAAGACAATGAAGACGAAGATATAGTTGTCCTGTCTATGCAACCGATCCACGCACAACCAGTAAGTTTGTATAACCCGCCGACACACATGCAAAATATTGATTTTAAAGATGACGACACAACCTCCGTGTTTGGAAGTGCTATTCAAAACCATATAGGTGACGAAATAGAGATTGGTATGGAGTTTGAAAACAAGGAAGCCTGCGTCCTCGCTCTGCAGCATTGGCACATAACACACTGTGTGGACTATTGGGTGTATCAGTCTAACAATGAACGATATGTCATTCAGTGTAAGAAACAAGACTGCAGGTTCAAGTGCAGAGCTTCATTTAGACGAAGGAACTCAAAATGGGTGATCGGTAAGCTGTCTGGGTCTCACACATGCACTACGACGTCGATGGCACAAGACCATAGGAAGCTCAGTTCAGAAATGGTTTGCCATAGCATCAGAGAACTTGTCAACAGCGACGCCTCACTTAAGGTAAAAGTGATCGTTGCCCATATTCTAGAAAAATACGGGTACATTATATCTTACCGGAAGGCGTGGATCGCTAAGTGCAAGGCGGTAGAGTCGCTTTATGGCAATTGGGAAACATCTTACAACGACCTACCGCAGTGGATACTGGTAATGAAAACCTTTCTTCCAGGAACCATTATAGATTTGCAAACCCTACCTGCAACATCAAGTGATGGTTCCCAAAACTCCGGAAAACGAATATTCCATCGTCTTTTTTGGGCATTTCGTCCGTGTATACGTGGTTTCGCCTACTGTAAGCTCATTGTGCAAGTAGACGGGACATGGTTGTACGGAAAGTACAGAGGAACTCTATTGACGGCGGTGGCACAGGATGGCAACGCAAATATTTTCCCAGTGGCATTCGCATTGGTCGAAGGAGAAACAAAGGAAGCCTGGAGTTTTTTTCTGAGGAACCTACAATTACACGTGACACCACAACCGAATTTATGTCTAATATCTGATAGACATGAATCGATAAAAAGTGCATACAACAATCCTGAAAATGGTTGGCAACATCCACCCTCTTCACATGTCTACTGCATAAGACACATTGCTCAGAACTTCATGCGCGAGATTAAAGACAAGGTTCTACGCAAAACACTTGTTAACATGGGTAACAAAATAAATACCACTTATCTAAAATTTTGTGGCACGTTTTTATCATTTTTTCTCACACAATTTCTGATACAGGTTACGCATTGACGGAGGCTTCATTTAATTATTATCGCGGAGAAATCAGAAGATCCAACACTGAGGCTTTAAATTGGATAGACAATATTCCTAGGGAGAAGTGGGCTAGAGCATTTGACAGAGGGCAACGTTGGGGACATATGACATCTAACTTAGCAGAAGCAATAAACTCTGTACTAAAGGCCACGAGAAACCTTCCTATCACGGCATTGGTCCAGTCTACATATTATCGAATGGGTTCACTATTTGGTAAACGAGGACACAAATGGACCAAGATGCTATCTTCAAGGAAAGTTTTCACAGATGGTTGTAACAAGGGAATGGATGAGGAGGTAGCCAAGGTTAACACACACAACATCATGCAATTTGATCGGAAAAGATTCTATTTCATGGTGCAGGAAAAGATTAATTACAACGATGGTCGTCCAACGGGTATTTTCAGCGTTGACTTGAGGAATCGTAAGTGTGACTGTGGAAAATTTCAAACATTTCACTTGCCTTGCTCCCACGTGATAGCGGCATGTTCTAGCATACGACAAGACTATGCAATTCACATTCCAGAGGTCTTCACAGTACTTAACGTATTCAAGGTTTACAAGGAAAGCTTTCTGGGACTACCACACGAGGAGAACTGGCTAAAATATGAAGGTTTCACTCTGTGCCACGACGATTCAATGAGAAGAAATAAAAAGGGGTGTCCAAGAAGTAGTAGAATTAGAACTAAGATGGATGACGCAGAAAAAGAGAAGAGACGGTGTGGGATTTGCAGA